CAAGATTCCATTCTTCTTATGGCTGAGTAATATTCCGTTGTGTGTGTGCATGTATATGTATATGTATGTATACACACACACATATATGCATTTTCTTTATCCATTCATCCCTTGATGGATAATTAGGTTGCTCCCAAGTCTTGATTATTGTAAATAATGCTGCAATGTGCATGAAGGTGCAGATATCTTTTTGAGTTTGTGTTTTCATTTTTTTTTGGATAAATATTCAGAAGTGCAATTGCTGGATCTTATTGTAGCTCTACTTTCAATTTTTTGAAGAACCTCCATACTGTTTTCCATAGTAGCTACACCAATTACATTCTCACCAACAGTACTTGAGAGTTCCCTTTTCTCCACATCCTTGCCAGCAACACTTGTTATTTCTTGTCTTGTTTATTTTAGCCATTCTGACAGAGGTGAGGTGATACCTGATTGTGGTTTTGATTTGCATCTCCCTGATGATCAGTGATGTTGATCATCTCATCATATACCCGTTGTCCATCTGTTTGTCTTTGGAAAAATGCCTCCAATATAATGAGGTTCAAACTTACAACCTTGAGATCAAGAGTCACGTGCTCTACTGACAAGCCTGCCAGGTGCCCCTCCAATACTTTTTGTTTGGTTTTTTGCTTGTTTGCTTGTTTTAGCATCAGTTTCAGGGGTAGAATGTGATTCATCACTTGTATATAACACCCAGTGCTCATTATAACAAAGGTCTTCCTTAATGCCCATCACCCATTTACCCCACACTCCACCCACCTCCCCTCCAGCAGCCCTCAGTTTGTTCCTTAGTTAAGAGTCTCTTATGGTTTGCCTCCCTGTTTTTATCTTATTTTATTTTTCCTTCCCTTCCCCTATGTTCATCTGTTTTGTTTCTTAAATTCCACATATGAGCGAGATCATATGGTATGTCTTTCTCTGATTGATTTATTCACTTAGCATTATACTCTCTAGCTCCATTCATGTTGTTGCAAATGGCAAGATTTCATACTTTTTGATGGCTGAGTATATTCCATTGTGTATAGATACCACCTCTTTTTTATCCATTCATCAGTCAATGGACATTTGGGCTCTTTCCATAGTTTGGCTATTATGGATAGTGCTGCTATAAACATCGGGGTGCATGTGCCCCTTCAAATCACTGTTTTTGTATCATTTGGATAAATAACTAGTTGTGCAATTGCTGAGTCATAGGGTAGTTCTATTTTCAACTTTTTGAGAAGCCTCCATACTGTTTTCCAGAGTGGCTGCACCAGCTTGCATTCCCACCAACAGTGTAAGAGGATTTCCCTTTCTCTGCATCTTCACCAACATCTGTTGTTTCCTGACTTGTTAATCCTCCAATACATTTTCGAAAGCATTTTCTTTTGCTTTATGTTCCTCTTGTGTGGCACACAGCATTAATTCACAGGAGGCCCTCATACTTGCCAATACGGACATGGGCAACAAAATATCAAAATATGAGCTTATAGTCTAGAAAAATGGAGAGGAAAGTATACTGGTATAAGCAAAAAGAATGATGAATGTTGTGCTTATGATAGATATATGCATGTTCTTGGAATTTTGAAGCTATTCTTTATTTATATCAAGTTAGTAAATACATTCACATGTGGCATTTTAAGTCTTTAGGAGTCAACGTCTGGAAATGTAAGTGATTAGAAGTTGCTCTCAGAGTAAAGTTAAGTAACAGAGATGGAATGATTTCTAAAGAAATCTTAAAAATACTCTGAGTGCTTACCTATTTTTAAAAATGGCATATAAGAAGATTGGCGTAATATTAAAAATAATTTTCTAGAAACAAGTTTTATTTCCATAAGAGCTTTGATCAAATACCTCATCATGATGAATAAGGCTAATTACACTTGTGGTTCTTGTGAGCTGCTTTTAAAAATTCATGTGCAAACCTCCGAGCATTCCAATCTCCTGCCTTCCCCTCCAAGACATTCAAATCACTGTAAGGTTTTCTGCACCCTGCAAAGGGCTGTTTATCATTTACTACCTATTTTGTTAGCTGCCCTGATACTCTTCCTGCCCTCCTTAAATATATTCTGAATGATTAAAGGCAAAGATTCTGCTGTATCTGTCATTTAAATCTCCCATAATACCTAACACATAATTAGCCCTGTAAAACATCTTTTCCCTCATTATCAGACCACATCACCTGTAAGGCAGTACTGCAGCACAGATCCCAAACAAGAATGACACCCCTGTGTTGCTGTTCTAGGCGGGAACTGAATGTACAGCTTAGTAAAGCTACATGTTTTGAAGGTGTAAAAATTGCTTTTCCACTTCCTGTGTATAAATGTAAAATGGTCAGGGCACCTGGGTGGCTCAGTCAGTTAAGCGTCTGCCTTTGGCTCAGGTCGTAATCCCAGAGTCCTGGGATTGAGCCGAGAAGTGGGCTCCCTGCTCAACAGGGAGCCTGCTTCTCCCTCTCCCTCTGCCCTTCCCCACCTCCCCGCCCCCTACCCATCCCCCCACACCTCGTGCTCTCTGCTATCGCTCTGTCTCAAATAATCTTAAAAAAATAAAATAAAACAAATATATAAAATATTTATGCTGTAAAGGCAATTATTGGACAATAATATAAGGTACAACCCAATTAATACATCTACAAAACAGGCTATGATCTATTTATATGTGTGTATATGTGTGCGAATACAAAAGGTACAAAGAATGATGGATCAGATACCCATGTACCCAACTACATCACTTAAATTAAATTTTGCCAACCCAGCCAAACACCATTTCTGTACACTCTAATCACCTCTACCTTCATTCCCCCAAAGATATTCATTCTCCTTAATTTGCTATTTATCACTGCCTTGCCTTTCTTTAAAACTGTCAGACATATGTAGGTATCCTTAAACAGTATATACTTCTTAAAACTTTATGCCACAGGGACACCTGGGTGGCTCAGTTGGTTAAGTGTCTGCCTTCGGCTCGGGTCATAGGTCCTGGGATTGAGTCCCGCATCAGGCTCCTTGCTCAGTGGGGAGCCTACTTCTCCCTCTGCCTGCCACTCTTCCTGCTTGTGCTCTCTCTCACTCTCTTTGTCAGATAAATAAATAAAATCTTTAAAAAAAAAAAAAAAAGCAACGTCTTCCCATTTGTAAGATTTGTTTCCAGTCATATGATTTGCTAAAAGCTTCAAAATGATTGTTTTTGGCACACCATTCATTAAACTCTAAGATTTCCAACTTAAAAGAAATCAAAACATATAGGACCCATTTTAAAAAAATGTTCATTATCAGTGAGGACAACACAGGTCGATTTACAAAAGCAGTTCTTTAACACTTCAAACATTTCTAATGTCTGCTTAATGGTGGACAACATAGAAAGTCCAGGGTGTCATGCTTGTTTTTTTAAAAAAATATTATTCAGGGACACCTGGGTGGCTCAGTCAGTTAAGCATCAGACTCTTGATCTCGGCTCAAGTCTCAATCTCAAGGTTGTGAGATTGAGTCCTGTATGGGGCTCCCCATGGGGCATGGAGCTTACTTAAAAAAATTTTTACTCGGGCGCCTGGGTGGCTCAGATGGTTAAGCGTCTGCCTTCGGCTCAGGTCGAAGCCAAACGAGCCTGGGATTGAGTCCTGCATCAGGCTCCCTGCTCGGTGGGGAGCCTGCTTCTCCCTCTGCCTCTCTCTCTGTCTCTCATGAATAAATAAATAAAAAAAAATAAAAAAAAAATTTTTACTCAACATCAGCTCATAGATATTTTTTTCTTTGTTTATTGTATATACATGTTTAAAAATTGGTAAATTTTGTCAAAACTACAGTAAGATACGACTGCATGCCTATTAGAATGGCCATTATATTAAAAAAAAAATAATAGGGGCAGCTGGCTGGGTCAGTAGAGCATGAGATTTTTGATCTCCAGTTGTGAGTTTGAGCCCCATGTTGGATGTAGAGATTACTTAAAATAACAAACATCTAAAAAAAATATAGAAACAAGTTGGTGAGCATATGGATGGATCTGACTGTGGTGCAGCTGTAGCTCTTAGAAGCCCTAGGAAGTCTCAGGTCTCAGGCATAGGTCTTTATGTGGTGGTCTTAGTTTTAATTCTCTACTGCACAAGGCCTTTGAGTTGGCTAAGGAACATTCCTGGGATGAGGACAAACCTCAGAGCAACCAACAGCTTCAGGGCATGGTCATCAGCGTTGTTTCTACTTCTGCTTTTGGCCCTGGTGATTTCCTCACTTTCTTACTGAAAGTTCAGCTTAAAAAAAAGATGTTTCTTCTCTGTGGAATGGGCATGATGATGATGTCAATTCTATAGAGCTAATGTATGTTAAGCACTTGGAATACTACCTGGCAAATAATTAGCATGATGAAAGTGCTAGATACTATTCTTTGAATAGTATTGCTCTGTATTTATTGTAGGAAGGTTTTACAAAATTTTGAGTCTAGTACATTATTGGGTACAGAGCATGTTTATATATTTCACAGTGCCTATGAGAAATAATTTTTGTATTGGGGTGCCTGGGTAGCTCAGTCGGTTAGGCACCCAACTCTTGATTTCTGCTCAGGTCACAATTTTGGGGTTGTGCGATTGAGTCCCTCACCAGGCTCTGTGCTCAGGGCAGAATCTACTTGTCCCTCTCCCTCTCCTCCCTTCCCCCCAGCAAATAATAAATAAATACATACATACATACATACATAAAAATCTTTAAACAACAGAAATCTTTTTTTGTATTAAATATGTTTGTTTGGGTCAGCAATTTACCACTGCACTTTGTCTAACTGTTATCTCCCTGAAGCTACATAAAGAACATTTATGTATCTTAGGAAAATGTACTATACGTTTATAAATATATGAAGTTTTGTGTAAGCTATTATTCAGCAGTTGTAAGTCTAAAATCAGCAAAGGGATCTGGGTCACCAGTCCTTCCTTACTATAAAAAAATAGCACAAAATTGCTTAATTTTAAATTTCATGAGAAATTTCATTTTTATTGATTAAAAAATGATTGTTTATGTATATATACACAAACATACATTAAAATATGTGGATACTTGAAATATATTTGTGTGTGACCTCATATGCTTGATATAAAAGTTTGTAAGTTCAAAGCAGTATATACTTGCTAATAATTACCAACATTTTGCTCTTAACTGTACTTTTCATCAGAATTTCTTCACAACTATAAACCTATTAAGATTCTAGATAAATAGAAGATGACAATACACTAAATAAAAGCAATATGGCAACCAAACCAGTGTACATTTAAGTTACAAAGTTTTTTTTTTAGTTTAAACAATTCTTAAAATACTTTCAAAAAGCATACTGAAGCGTATTTTAAATACATATCTTAAATACATAAGACATTTTTTTCCCCTACTCCTCCCCACAGAAATCCTAGTGAAATGGGTAGTGGGTGTGTGGTACAAGGTGCTTTGGACACAGGCTATGCAGAAGGTTTGGTTTACCATATTTCCTCTGAGTAAAGCAGTGAGGATAGAAACATGGACAGCAGCCTATATAAATGCAACTTTGCGGAACTTGTTATGTAGGAATATATTCTTCATATAAATTTAAAGAATTTTTCCTGGCCAAAAAAATGAATCATGCTCATTATAGAATAGTTCGGAGATAAAGAAAAGCGTGGAAAAGAAAATAAAGACACCTGTAATCCTACCACATAGAGGTACCTACTGGCAATATTCTGGTGTGTTTCTTTCCTATATTTTTTCCTAAGCATACAAAAATATAAACATATAAAAATATGATTATATTATTTACAGAATTTGATATCCTGCTTTTTTCCTGGATAAAATGATGGTGAGTTGCTTACCTTTCCATTTATGTTCTTCAGAAGAATTTATTATTTTAATGGCCAACAGAAAGTTTCATTGAATGGATATACCATAATGCAAAATATAGAATGGTATTTCTACTTTTATAGCTTTTAAAGTTTTATATAAATAAAATTTTAAAAGCTATAGAATTATAAATATAGATCATATTTTTGACAACTAACGCCTCCCAGCATGCAATGACTGGTACGTGGTCTTTTCATGTTTTCATAACTCCTCAAAGGCTGGGACACGCCAACAAGTTAGACACTGCACAAGGACACCCAACTCTGAACATTTCAGGTCCTACCCCAAGGGTCCATTTGAAAGTGACAACAGTCTATGCCATTACACATGGATAACTGAAGGTCTGCTTGTAAAGTCCACATGCTGAACTCCTACAAGCTGTAAAACAGAGTTGATGGGTTTGTGATCCAACCTATTTTTATCACGGTGTATAAAATGGATGTTGTTACCTAGAAGAGAATAAAAGGCAAAGGTAGGCATATAGATTCATTAGATTTATTGCTTATTAGAGTCAAGGAATCTTTTAAACTTTTAATTAGTCTAAAGGGAAAAAATGACTGCCTGGAGTTCATAATATTCTCTATATAATGCCCTAATAATTTTTAATTAAGGTAATAAAGCATGACATGGATTAGGTTAAATAAGTGTGATACTTAATGTTTTATGAGATCCAAGGGGAAAGATTCTTAAATTATAACCTCTGTTAGGTTTTATTAGATGTAATTAAATAAAATATCCTGTCAAACAGACAGGCAGAATATGGAACTAGCATAAATATCAAGCTGGAAAATCACATCTGTTTCTTAAATTTAATAATGGAATAAATCACTTGCTTCAAAAAAAAAAAATTCACTACCAAACACTGATTTAATAGGTTATCAGCATTATAATCCTAGACCAAAAGAGGCTGAAAAATCAGGGCATTGAGACAGTGAGTTACAATACACTTAGACATCCACAATCCTTTTATCTGCTCAAATTAAAATGTCATAATTTATAGGTCTAGGGTCTTTGTTACTTTGATTCTTGGACTCAAGACCAGAATTCTAACTTAAAACATAAGATTAAGTAAATATTATAAGAGGCATGTTTTTGGGCACCTGGGTGGCTCAGTCGGTTAAGCATCTGCCTTTGGCTCAGGTCATGATCCCAGGGTCCTGGGATCAAGTCCTGCATCAGGCTCCTTGCTCAGTGGGGAGCCTGCTTCTCCCTCTGCCCGCCACTCCCCCTGCTCGTGCTGTCAAATTAATAAAATCTTTAAAAAAAGGAGGCATCAGTAATCTACAGTAATCACTGTAGATTTAATATCATAAATTGGCTTATTATCAAAAAGGCAAAATGCAATACAGGTTTAACCATGAAAGGTTTCTATAAATAAGTATACCCAGCTCTTTCCTTAGAGGAGCTACATTTCTTCCAGCAGGTAGTATCAAGATATTCTCCTTACATACTCCTCACTTACTCAATTATGTTCCCAACTTGGCACACAAATGATGCTGTGTGCTTGGTCACCCTTACACACCTGAACATGTGGTCAGATGCTGAGACATGGAGATTAGGGACTCAAAACGGGTCTGAAGATGGAAACAAGCCATCCAAAAATATGGCTCAAGGTCATTCAGGGCTAATCTAGAGGACTCATTCTCATAAAACAGGGCTTCTCTTTTTTTCTAGTCTAACTGGTATAAATTCACAAGAGAGGGAAAGAGATTAAATTACAGGTTTTAGTAGCTAAAGTGCTCCAGCTGCAGAAAGCCAAAACGCCATAATGCTTGGTCAAAAGCCTCCTTCTAAAGACTTTTAGACATGTGGAGTTTATTAAAGTAAATGTTAATTTTATAACTCCTAGAAGCTATGCTCGCTAATGTGGACAATTTTCAAGAGGAAGAAGAACCAAGAAAATCTATTTACAATTTAGTGATTTACACTGTGAAAGTGGCTGTCCCTGACTACAATACTTGACCATGGTAGAGATCTAACACTGAACCATTTAGCAGTGTGGAGCCAAAGAAATTTCAGGTGGCCCAAAGTGATCAATAAAGCTATTAAAACTATGTGGCTTATAGTAATTGTTACTGAATGAGCTGTCCCTGGAGCTGACTTGCTTTCTGACACTGAGCAAGTCTTCTAGCCTTGTTAGATATAAGTAACTAGATTGATTCTTCTATTGAGAAAAAAAAGAAAAAAAAGGGTCAACACTTTGTTCTATGTGGAAATGTTCACTTCCATGAACTTTTTTTTTTTAAAGATTTATTTATTTTAGAGAGAGAGCACTTGAGCGTGGGCAGAGGGGAAGGGAAAGAAACAGAGAGGATCTCGAGCAAACTCCCTGCTGAGTGCAGCCCATACAGGGCTCGATCTCATGACCCTGAGATCATGACCTGAGCTAAAATCAAGCATCTGACGCTTAACCAACTGAGCCACCTAGGTGTCCCTCTCTTCCATGAACTTTTTTTTTTAAAGATTTATTTATTTATTTTAGAGAGGTGGGGAGGGGCAGAAGGAGAGGGAGACAAGCAGACTCCCCGCTGAACATGGAGCCTGACACGGGGCTCAATCCCAGGACCCTGAGATCATGACCTGAGCTGAAATCAAGTATCTGGTGCACAAGTGGCTGACCCACCCAGGCGCCCCTCTTCCATGAACTTTTTAAACAGTTTTATAGACATATACAATTGACCAAACCACCACTGACTTTCCTATCCCAAATACCTGAAATCACTCAGGCACAGGATGATGGGCACATTACATGCAATAAACAGACGCCAAAATACACAGAAGCGTTTGAAAACAAAGGTGACCCCTATAAGCACAGAATTGTGACTGTTACAATGTCAAATTGCCATTTTTACCTGGTATCTATTTTATGAAGAAACTGTGGCCTCCTAACTTCTAAAAAGAACAAAAAGTGTGCCACTGGATCTGGGCTTTGACGCTTACCTGGACCTAAGATGAGGGTTCCACCTTGCTGGGCAGGGTCTCCTTGAAAATCAAAAAGAGGGCCAGTCACTGCCCTCCACAGGCTCCGAATGCTTCCTGAGAGTATATTTGATTTTATATGGGGGCTCTTTCCTGAAATATTGGGAATTGTCTTTAGATATTATCATTTTATATTCAATTAGATATCAGAAGATAATGTTAGTGCTTCTATAACACATTCTTTTTTTTGAGGTATAGTTGACACAACATACACTGCTGTATAATGTGGTGATGCCGCAGCTCTGTACTTGGGCTAGGCTCACTACAGGTGTAGCTGCCACCTGTCACCATACAAGGCTATTACAGTATCATTGACTGTAGTCCCTGTGCTGTGCCTTTCATCCCCGTGACTTACTCATTCCGTAACTGGAAGCTGGTATCTCCCACTCCCCTTCACCCATTTTTGCCCATCCCCCTTGAAATATTTTTTCTTGTGTTATCTTACTTCCAACTTGTCTTCTTTTCTTGCTTCAAACAAAGGTTTCTCAGCCTTTCCCTATTGACATTTTGGACCACGTAAGTCTTCATCCAGTGCAACGCAGGGTGGTTAGCAGCATCACTGTCCTGCATACCCACTAGATGCCGCAGTACCTTCACCATGTGATGACAAACCAAAAGTGTCTCCAGATAACACCAAATGTACCCTGCTTGAGAACTACTACTTTAAAGAAGTGATGATATACCCCAATCATCTGCCACAGAAAAATGTCCGCTACAGACTTCTCAAACTGACTGCTTTCCCCCACCATTTTTTTTTTAAAGATTTTAAGTAATCTCCATACCCAACATGGGGCTCCAACTCACAACCCCAAGATCAAGAGTCACATGCCGTACTGAGCCAGCCAGGTGCCCTTAATGCTTTCCCTTTTAATACATCATTTATCCTTTGTTTAATTTCTCACCTACTAATACGTAACTACACTCCTTTTCAAGAAACACTGTGGCACAGACCAGTATATGCTCCTCAAAACCCATTTCCTCTTTCTGGGCCCACAGATGAACTACATTTCCAGTCTTCCTAGCAGTTCGTTATGGCCATGTGACTATGTTCTAACCCATGAGTAAAATGATACGGGCCACTTCCCGGCCAGCTCCTTAAAACCTCTATGTTCCTTCTACATTCCTGGAAGCCCTGGGATGAAAATGACAGAGCCACAAGATGAAAGGGGCCTGGGTCCTTCCCCCCGGGGTCCCTGCTGTACTGCTGCTTGGAGGAAAGGCATCTGAATAGATACGCCATCTTGAAATTAAAAGAAGAACTAACCTCTCCCGTGCTGTGCCGCTGAGACTTGGGGAGCTGTCTGTGACAGCAGCTAATCCAGCGCCTCCCCAGCTCCCCTTGGCTGTCAGTTTTTCCATCTCCTTTCCCACATGGACTAATACTTCACTTCTGCTCCCTCTGAGCAAAGGGACCCACCCTCTTCACCCTTCTCGTAACTTATCTTTCCCCTATCCCTGCCTGTTACGTCTTGCTTCTGGCTTTTTATTTTGATGGTTATGCTGCCTTTAACCTGCCTGAATCCTTAGTATTTCCAGGTACCTATCATTTCCTTTCCTCTCTCTGACTCTTCTATTTCTTTCATGTTTCTATTATGATGGACATTTATCTCACCAAGAAACAAATACAGGCCCATTACCTTAGAAACATGAGTAAAAGACTAAATTTTACTGTTTTCTAGGATTCTATGTCTAAAATAAATATTCAGAAACCCAAACTATCTCTTCATGTCCAAAGAAGGGGTCATTTAATATTTCTGAAATTTCAGAAATTCAATTGAAGGAGATTCCATGACCTAAAATTTAACAATCTTTGCCACAAACACAATCTAATTCTGGAAATACAGTACTTTCACACAGGTCACAGGAGTTTAAAAGATTTGAATATACCTTCTCTAATAATTATAAGCATATATTTTGTTTAGAATTCAACTGTTTTCTTTGCAATTCTGTATTTTTATTGTGTGATGAACCGATGAACCATGAGGTGTTACTAAGGTGAAACTCACAGTTTAGATCTAAAGTGCTAAATGATAATCAACTCACACAGCTGGGACTGTTACAACACAGAAAACAGTCTACCAAGAGGTAAGGCTCACAATGTATACACTGCAATCTCCTATACCAAGGAGAAAAAGGAAAGAGCACACTCTGTGTTTATGCTAGCTCATCATTAGTTTTAATAAAGTTTAGGTTGCTTTCCTTAAACACATCAGTAAAGGGATACTTACTCATCCACGCTGGACACAGGACTATGACTTCATCACTTCAAATGCTAGTATGACACCCCCACTCCTCCAGAACAAATCCAAACTCCTTGGCATGTCACCCCAGACTCGGCCCGAATTAGCCACAACCTGTCCCTTGGCTCACACCAAGTCCCCAGTTGGCTAGACTCCAGCCTGACACAGGGACCTGCACTTGTCCAAGAGTCACAGTTTTTCATGCCTGTGTGCCTTTGCATGTGCTACTTTCGGTCAGCAGCACCCTTCCCCAGCCTCACTTCACCCAGCTAACTCCTTTAAGAGTGGGCTTAGATGACACCTCCTCTGTAAAGCCTTCAGAGATTCTTCTCTCCCCTCGTATTTCCGGCATAGGTATTCCTAGTACATGTTCTCTATTACAAGCCCTTAAATTGTATTGTAATCAGCTGTTTGCTTTTGTCTCCCAGAATAGAGTATGAGTTTTAGGATGGCAGGGAGCTGTTTTATCACTGTCCTCTTGGGAGCATCCAACCAAGTGGGGATTACAGACAGGAGCTCAACAATATTTGTTGAGAATGAATGATTTGAGTTTGAGTTCTCTCAACTGGCATTTCAGAAGCCATTCTTTCTACTTAATACAGAAACAGTTCACCTAAAGCTGACGAAGCTCTGTTAAATTACAAAGAACTGCATTAAAGGCAGGGAATGTGGACCACATAAAGACAAAACCTCAAACTCTTCAACTAACTCTGCTGTCTGGACACCTTAAGTGCACTGGTAGAGTACATGATAAGTACAAGGGGCTATTCAGGTACAATGAGGGAAGGAATAACTTCTGCAGGAGGGGCTTTTAAGAGCCCCTTTGAGTTGGGCTTCAAATGAAAACTAAGATTTCATCAATTAAAGAACATAGAGTATTCAAAGCCATGGTGTTGAGCTAAGAAAATATATTGACTCAAGCAATATTATTTTTCACTTAATTACGAAAGTAAAATGTACTCATTGTTAAAAATACAAAGGCCACTTTTCTAACTTCCATACCTTGGGGTAAGCATGGCAATATCTTTTAAAACCTTTTTTTTAAAGATTTTATTTATTTATTTATTTATTTATTTATTTGACAGAGAGAGACACAGCGAGAGAGGGAACACAAGCAGGGGGAGTGGGAGAGGGAGAAGCAGGCTTCCTGCCGAGCAGGGAGCCCGATGCGGGGGCTCGATCCCAGGACCCTGGGATCATGACCTGAGCTGAAGGCAGACGCTCAACGACTGAGCCACCCAGGCACCCCTAAAACCTTTTTTATTACACACACACACACACACACACACACACACACACACACACAGGTACTCCTGATCTTTATGAAAATGGTTTTTATTTCCACAAAAATAGAATCATACTAAAAACACTGTTCTGCAATTTGCTTTTTTCACTTATTTAGTACTTTGCAAATAGCCTTCTATGTCATTACACCCAGGAAATGAATCTTTGAGAGTCTGGAATCATAAAAAGCAGGCTGATTTGTGAATTTACCATTTGTTTCCCTATGCATACATACAGAAATGTGCAAATGCACCATTAGCGTTTTCTGATGAGACGTGTCATGTCTTACCTGAGGAGGCAATTTCTTCACCTCTTTTCATTCCCAATTTTTTATAAATTTCTCTCTCAGGATCAACATAGATTTCATGAGAATACCCAGTCAGTTTGCAGAAAGGCTAAAAAAAGATATTTGGATTTTGTATAAGTAAAAATGAGAGAAAAGTAATGATAACCTACCTTTATTTTAGCAAATTTAACCTACACTTAGTGGTTCAAATAAATAATTTTTATGTCTGAAATAGATTTGTTAGTTTCTCAGTTGCCGATATATTTACCTCGATATGATGGTAGGATGACTGTCCAATCACTATTAGGGTGACATCTGCTTCCTTTAGGAGAAAAAAGGGACAGGTACATATTACCAGAACTTACATATATTTTATAAAACTTCCCCTTGTCCAACTCTTTTGTTCCATTCTAATGCCACCTATAGGCTTCTAGAAGAATGGAATAAACAGCAAAATTGTGAGTCAAAGTAAAGCAATGTATGCTAAAATGTTCAGTTAATTCAGCTGATCTCTTGCTAAGAACTTCAAAAATGTAGTCAATAATTCTCAAAAAAATCTCTATGCTCCCCCCAAAGACGTACACTAAAAAAGAATAAAAATTATTGAAGTAGGGTTAATCAGTTTCATTTTTTCACATCCCAATTAATAAGGCCTGATGAAAACAGATCTTAGTTTTACAAAGGTTGCCCAATTCCTTCACTCAAAAGCTCACATGGGAACAAATGTATATGTGCCTGAAAAAGAACATATGTATGTGGTTATCACAGGAATGTGGAAGGCACATCCTAACAAATACAAATTTTAACCTTTAAGATATATTAGTATTTTCCTATAATGAACAACTATTTGGAGTGTTCTTATTAAAAAAATAAGGGAAATAAAATATTAATAATTTCTAGCATCCGTGCTTTTGGTCATTATGATTCAACATTTACAAATAGGTTACTAACATTGAAATTATTATAGTTAGTACGTTTATAAGCAGGCAGTAGCGAATAAAGTAGGACAGAAAGAGATCTCTAACGTCTCTTTTTTGAAGGTGTTGGAGAGATGTGTAGGAAGGTGATAATCAGGGTTTGCGAGGGTCTGTTCTGGAGAGGTACAGAACTCTGCACCTCATCCCACCGGGCTTCTTAGAAATGACAGGTGACTTTCACAAGGTCGCCCTGAAGCAGGGCACGCCGCTGCTCACTCTCAGGAAACTTACTTGTAAAAAACTCTTGGGGATTTTGGCCAGATCTTCTACGTATTCCTTGCAAATGTAACACAGGAAATGCTGAAATCCCAACACGACAAAAAGGACAAGTTAGCGACTAATACCCTCAGGGTTCATTAAAGACCAAGTACTTCGTTACGCGTGACGCTAATTAATGCCACTCACAGCGGGTAGAAAAAGGCGCGAAGGGTGCCCGAGATGCGTTAAAATTGGGCCACTCCCTTAGGCCTCCTCGTTTGCTGGGAAAATGGACTTGGCTTGGCGGGCTGTTTTTCCATTCCTATTAAAGGAAGCGAGAGGAGCTGTTCGCATTCCGGAAGCCTCTAGTGGAAGGCAATGGGAAGGGCCAGGCCCAGCTGGACCGCACTCTCGGGCCTTGGGCCTTCGAAGGACCCAATGTCCCCCTAGCCGAAGCTGTAGAAGCAACCTCCATCCCAGCCTGCCGGCAGAGTCCCTACTCCGGGCCGCCCCGCTGCCCGCGCTCACCCGCACGAAGACTACGACAGCCCGACGCTCCCGAAACAGCGCGCCGAACGGCACCTGCCTCCCGGAGGCGTCCAGCACAGGCAGCTCGGCTACCGCTGCGGCCAGGAGCTGCCCGCGCTCGGGGCCGCTCGGGACTGCGGCTGGGGCGGCGCGGCCGCTGACCTGCCGCGTAACCGGGCCGAGGGCGGGGTCGGCCACAGCGCCCTGCATCTGCCTGCCCAGGTTCGCGTCCACCATGCCCAAGCCGACCGCACAGGTTAGACGAACCGGGTCGCGGCTGAGCTGGGCTCACGGGGCGGGGCAATCCGGGAGGAGCACGGCGCGCAGGGCGGGGCGGAACGGAGGGCGGAGCTGCGTGCCACCCAGAGCCTGAGCCCCTCTGGCTGAGTCAGAAAACGGTCCCTACAGGCCCAGGCGAGCTCCGTCGTGGCGGGGCGGGGCGGGGCGGGGCGAAATCTGGGCGGGGCGCCACCCGGGAGGGGCGGAGCAGAATGCGGGTGGGGCGGGGCGCCACCCGGGAGGGGCGGGACGGAGCGCAGGGCGGAGCACAAGGCAGGGAGCCGCGCGGTGTTCGGTCCCGAGGGGCGCTCGGTCCGCGTGCTGGCAGACGGGGCTGTGCGGGGATTGGACCGGGCACACCCAGCCGCCTGGAGGTTAGGTTCCGCTGGTCGCCGTGCGCAGGCAAGCGCAAACTGCCCGCGCGTTTTCTGACTCAGCCTCCTGGGTAGGGAGAGGCAGACGGGTCCCAGGTGAGAAAAGGTTGTTTAGGAAGGAAGCAGGCCCCTCCCTCCATAGCTGCCTGGGCCCAAGTTACTTACCGATGATTCTACAGAAACAGTTACCAACTTAAAGAATTTTCTACTCAGAACAACCAAATCAATGATCCAACAGATTTGTACTATTTTACTTCTATTTTGTTTTTAACCCATCCCCTCCTTAGTTCTGGTGTTTTGTTTGAGGTAACATTAATATACAATGTAATGAACATATCTTACGTGTAAAATTAAATTTTATTTTTATTTTTTTAAGGCTTTTTTTTTTTCGGGGGGTCGGGCTCTAGCTCTGGGTGGCACAATCGGTTAAGCACGTTGGACTCTTGGTTTTTGCTGAGGTCCTGATCTCAGGGTGGTGAGCTTGAGCCCCTCCCTCATCAGCTCCCCCTGAGCAGAGAGTCTGCTTAGGACTCTCGCTCCCTCTCCCTCTGCCTCTCCCACTGGAGCGTGTAAGCATTCTCTCTCTCTCTCAAATAAATAAATGAAATCTTTAAGAAAAAGAAAAGACTTTTTTAAAAGTAGTCTCCACCCCCAGCACCATGCAGGGCTTGAACTCACCAACCCCAGACTTGAGCTGAAATCAAGAGTTAGAGGCTTAATTGATTGAGCCACCCAGGAGCTCCGAGTTAAATTTTTTAAAAATAAATGTTGTGGTGCCGGGGTGGCTCAGTTGGTTAAGTGACTGACTTCGACTCAGATCATGATCCCGGGGTCCTGAGATCGAGTCCCACGTGGGCTCCCCCTGCTCTGTGGGGAGTCAGCCTCTCCCTCGCCTTTGCCTGCCATTCCCCTTGCTTGTGCTCTCGAGCGCTCTCTCTCTGTCAAAAAAATAAATAAAATAAATAATTTTTAATTTAAAAATTTCTAACATTTTATCATGGACATTTTACTTTTTTATTTAAAAATTTTCTTTCCTCCTGAATTGGGAAATGATCAAAACATAAGTCATTAACATAATTTGATGTATAATTATTAAACATAAAAAGCAAAATTATCTTTGACATTTATTTCTTAAGGACATGAATGGGCTTTTTCCCCCAATTCTTGTATCTGTGAATAAATATTACTCATTTTGCCAATAGAACTCTGCTCAGTATGAATGATGCCACTGTAAGATTTAAAATACATGCCTCTTGATTTATGTTTATGCATTTCTGTTGAGTATATGCCCAGGAGAATAATGAATGGATCATTGGATGTGCATTTTTTTTACCTTGATTGAGCAAGGAGTTTTTATTTTTCATTTTTATTTTTTATTGTTTTTAATTTTAATTCCAGTATAGTTAACATACAGTGTTATATTAGTTTCAGGTGTACATATCATGGACATTTTAAAACATGCCCCCGAATTGAAAGAATTGTACAATGAACACTCCTGTATTGACCAGTTAGTTTCTACCGATAATTTTTACTCTGTCATTTTTCCATGCATTTCTCCACAGTTGAATGAGTTTTTCCTGATTGTCCACCTCTGTTATTCACACCCCTATGAAAATATGGAACATTTTCATCACTGGAGAAAACTCCTTTAGTTCCACTCTGTGTGTGTGTGTGTGTGTGTGTGTCTGTGTGTATGTGTGTGTGTGTGTGTGTGAGAGAGAGAGAGAGAGAGAGACAGTGATTTAAATATTTTTGTATTAAGTCTTGGAACAAGGTGGGATTGCAGCAGTTTGTGGAATTATCACAGACAACAAAAAGCTAAGATGCATAATTTCAACCTCTTTGTGCAGGACAACCAAATTTTTTATTACTAATTTTTGTATTTGAGTGTTGTATTGGCACACAACGTTGCATTCGTTTCAGGTGTACAACATAGTGATTCAACACGTTTAAACGTGCTATGTTCACCACGAGTGTAGCTACCATCTGTCACCATACAACACTATTATAATATCATTGACTGTATTCCTTATGCTGTGCCTTTTATTCCTGTGACTGATTCATTTCATAGCTGGAAACCTGTATCTCCCGCCCCTTCACCCATTTTGCTCACCTACTCCCTACCCTCTCTGGCAACAATGAGTTTGTTCTCTGTGTTTATAGGTCCGATTCTGCTTTTTTATTTGCCTAATTGTTTTATTTTCTTTTAGACTCCACATATGAATGAAATCATATGGTATTTGTCTTAGTCTCATTTCATTTAGCGTAATACTCTTTATGTGTGTTGTCATAAATGTCACGATCTCGTCCTTTCTTATGGCTGCATAGTATTCCTGTGTGCGCGCACATGCGCGCGCACACACCTTATCTTCCTTATCCATTTGCCTACTGATGAACTCTTCGGTTACTTCCAACCTCAGTTCCACTTCTGTTTTGTTTTTTTTTAAGATTTATTTATTTATTTTAGAGGGGGGAAGAGGCAGAGGAAGAGAGAGAGAGAGAATCTCATGCAGACTCTCTGCTGAGCATGGACCACCACCGCCACCACCCCCCTCCCGTCCCCCCCCCTCCCATGCAGGGCTCCATCTCTTGAACATGGGATCATGACCTGAGCTGAAATCAAGAGTTGTATGCTTAACCACTCAGTTCCACTTTTCAAGAATCAGTAAAATAAACGTATTTTAGGGGCACCTGGATGGCTCAGTCGTTGAGCCTCTGACTCTTGATCTCAGCTCAGGTCTTGATCTCTGGGTTGTGAGGTCAAGCCCCATGTTGGGCTCCATGCTGGGTGTGGAGCCTACTTAAAATAAATAACCTATTTTAGAAATGTACTAGAGTGTTTCAAGAGTCTTCCCCCTCCACCCTGCTCATGCTCTCTTCCTGTCTCTCTCTCAAATAAATAAATAAAATCTTAAAAACAAAAAAAAATCTGGGGGAGGGGCACAGGGAGAGAGAGAGAGAGAAGCAGACTTTCCACTGAGCGGGGAGCCCGATGCAGGCCAATCCCAGGACCCTGGGATCATGACCTGAGTGGAAGGCAGATGCTTAACCAACTGAGCCACCCAGGCGCCCCTCCCCCAGATGTTTTTTAACTAAAGCTATTTGCCAGACTCCTCAAGTGAGATAACCCATCTGTGTGTGTAAAAGGTGGCCTGGGAGGGACAGTGGAGTTTTGTAGAAGTCTCTACCAGTGTGAAAATGAGTAAAGGACACCTCGTTTAAAATGAAGCCCTGAAAGGAAAGCTTTCATGCAAGTACCACTCCTGGCAGCCCATATAACCAGCAGGAGGAAGGAAGATACTTTTCACATCCTGCTTTTAAGACATAGGAAGATCCCTCTCTGCCCCAGCAATGTGCTAACCACTGCTTGCAACCAATGACAAACCTCAAATTCTTCTACAGTGAACTTTTGTTCAAAACAAACCTCCCAAATTTTCCCTAAAACCTAATAAAAATTGAACTTCCCTTTGTTTCTTTACACTTGCCTGTGGTTTGCCATAGTTTGTCCCAACTTGCAGTTCCTCTGCTATTGCCAAGTAAACTCGTTTTGCTGGTAAAATAACTGGTGGTTTTATTTTGAGATTGATGCCAGGTAGTCTTTTAGGCATGCTTCTAGTTCCACCTTAATTTCTCCTAAGGCAGGCTGCAGGCAGGCAGGCATAGGGGAAATTAGGAATTTCTGCAGCCTCTAGGAACCTAGCTGACCGTGGACTTGGAGGTTAATCGTGCACTGGGGTTTTTCATGGGTGGTGACCAGGTGTCCAGAATTCCTAGGGCAGGGCCCTGTAACAGTCTTCGTCTTTATAAGTTCACCCACCTTTGTATCCAGATTTGCAGTTCAGAAAATATGATCCTCTATTGTATTTGTCTAGTTGAAGCCCTTTCGGGTCACCCATATCAAGGGCAGAGTGCTGTTCCAGGAAGTATATGTGACTAGTCTGCCACAAAGTGCAGAAGAAACTGATCCTGAGTCCTCTGGCTTTCATTAGTGTGAAGATATATACATTATTGGACACATATATAAGTGCTCTCAGTCTGAGAAGCCCTGCAGTGGGTTTAGACATTTTAAAGCAGAGATCTGTTGCTAAATCAAGATATAGATGTTGGGGTACCACAGTGCCCTTACAGGATATTTACAGCAGGATATTTTAAATATTTGAGGAAACAGGTCATCTGTCTGACATCTTGCCTGTGAGTAGAGATAATTCAAGATTTGACATTTCTTTCTACTACATATCTTTGCACAGCTGGGTTTTCAACAGTTGTGATAAAAAGCTAGAACCACACAAAAATCACTGTGGAACAGGAAATGAGGGGTGGTGTCCAATCTGATTTCAAAGTTTGAGAAGTTGTGTAGTGCCCAACAGGCATACCCATCCTAGAATGAAATAAAAATATTACATTTTCTTTTAATTTATAGGTATATCTTCAAAAAGCTATGCAGTTATTCAGATATAAATGCTCATTAAGTTGTTTGGACCTAACTTCTAAACAAAGGGGACTGATAGGAATTTCTTTGGGCCTAAGGGTGCTCTGAAACAAGAATGTTTGGGAAGCTCTAAATGAGATGGTACGCTCCTTGCCTTGTGCAGCTCTGTACTGTCTTCACAGACTGGTATGAGGCC